CATTTTATAAAGATAATAATTAAGTATTCTGTTAGAACTCAATGATTATCTTAATTATATTTTAGATTTTTTATATTTAAAAATGAGAAGTTTATCATGTATTTGATTGTGTTAATCTGCAGTTAGTTACACGAATTCAGATATGGAGCTTTAATAAGTTGTACCTACGCACAATTTATTTGTAATCTTGAGTTTTAAGTAATATGCATTAATAAACAGTACTTTACGCATAAAAAGTGGTTTTAAGTCAAAGACCTTCCAGCCTAGTGGTAAAGGCAGTCATGAACCCGAGTTCGAGCCCTGGGAGGGGAAGTGTTGGCGACATTTAAGTGAGGCCATGTTTAGCCGCCAAAATTGCCGGGGGTTAGTCGGGCTTTGGACCGGACACCCTCCAAAAAAAAAAGTGGTTTTAAGAGTTTTTGTCAAATGATTTATAATATAGAATATATATATATTTTATATATAATTTAATTTAAGTTTAATAATAAAACAATTTATTTTTGGTTTAATATTATAAATTTTATAAAGATAATAATTAAGTATTCTATTAGAATTTAATGATTATACTAATTATATTTTAGATTTTTTATATTTAAAATGAGATGTTTATCTTTTATTTGATTGTGTTTATCTGCAGTTAGTTACACGAGTTCAGATATGGGATGAAATCGGATAGGGATAAAATCGTTTAGGGATGAACGAATAGAAGAGTTTTTAAGAGTTTCAGGGATGGGGACGGGGATCCCCGTTTGTCTCAAAACGGGGATGAAGACGGGGACGTGTATGGTACTCCCCGTCCCGCCCCATACCGTACCCGTTATATACACACACACACACACACACACACACATATATATATATATATATATTATTTGTTTCAACTAAAGGGTAATTTATAATTTCATATTTCCTAACTAGGTTTATAATCTAAAATTGTTACTTTTTTGATGTTAATATATAAAACTTTGGATGTCAATTCAAAATACAATTACTCGATAAGTTTTGTATACTACTCTATATGGTTTTATATCACTTAATATCTTTTGATACACGTGACTTTAAGTTTTTTTGAATTAAATTGATTTGTTTTTTTTGTTTTAGGTTATTAGTTCTTATATGATGTTGTGGTTTTTTGTATTAAATTAAATTTATTTTGGTTTTAGGTTTATTGAAAATGTTTGAGATTTAAACATGTATGGTCTCTCACATATTTAATTCAAAATAACTTATATAAACGGAAAAAAAATCCTTGTTTCCCCGATGGGGATGGGGATGTTGATGGGGATGCGATTATTATCCCCAGTGGGGAGGGGGACGAGGACGGATATGGAGATACGTAATCGGGGAAGGGGACGGGGATTGAGGTCTCCGCCGCATTCCCACGCCTGACCAATAATATGCTCGCTAAATTATTCTGTCAAGAAAATTAATTTTAAAGGGAAAAAAACCCAAAAACATCGAACGATCGACATAAAATGCGAGCTGACAAAAAATATATATTCAAATTCAATAACTATTTTATTTCAATATTTTGTTCGACGGTTAGCGATGAAGGCACGAAGATATTTGAAGAAAAGAAAAACAAAGATAAAGCACGTGACGAGTGGTGAAGGGTCACGTGGCAGACATGAAAAGACGTCCTCCCGCTTCCATGACCTTCTCGTAACTCTCAAACCTCTTGTTCTTGGATCACTCCAACCTTCAAATTTAATCCAACTCAAACACACACAGTTGTGGTGGAATCACTGTTGCGTTTTTCTTTAAATGCTTAATTTCAATTGCTGCTTTCCTTGATTAACATGATGATTCTCAACGCAACAACTCCATGTCTTCCTGATTCATCGTCAAAATTCAGTAATGTCAATCATTCTCTCCCTCTTTCTGCATTTGGCGCCACCGATGCCACGGGGTATGCCGTTTACTTTCATCAATTGCAATGTTTGTTTCAAATTTCGTTGTTCGTTGTAGTTTTTTACCGTCTCTATTGAAAATTGAAATGGGGCTACTTAATTTTGTAAACAGAAATGCTGAATCGAATTTGAACTTCAATCGCATTTGGAATTCATATCCATTTGTAGTTCGTTAGGAATTGAATTTTTATTTTTGGTGGTATGTATTTCTGAGATATCGTCTGACGGGAATGCGTTGTATTTAGCCCCGCAAGTTTATATTAATTGATGGAAGATCAATCGAGTCTGGGAAAAAATTGAATTTACTCATGTTCAGAACTGAAATCTATTTGTAATTGGTTAGGGGTTGAGTTTAATTATTCTTTGTGGTCTTTTCTACTTTTAAATTTTTGACATGTCTGATCAGAAAGCATTGCATGTGGCTTACAAGTTTCTGTTAATTATGGTATGCTCAGTTAAATTTGGGAAGAAATTGAATTTCACTTACATTCAAAATTCATTTCTTTTTGTAGTTCGTAAAAGATTAATTTATCTTATTCTTTGTGGGTTTGTTTGATATTAACTATTGATTTATTGTCGGATGAGGATGCATTATGAGTAGTTGATAAGTTTATGGTAATTATGGTCTTAACACTAAATTAAAAGTGATGTGATATCAAGAGGAGAAAAACGAAAAAGAAACCAACTTAAAATTCAAGTTGTAACTTTTTTGTTGAGCCATACACTGATTATTATATTAGTCAGTTTGCTATGTACATTAAGTAATTAGTTGAGTTATTTTCTTCATCCGTTTTGGTTACTTTTGTCACTTTTTCTGATCCATTCAATTGTAATTCTAATTTTTGATGGTCAAGGGGCAGAAGAGTTGTAATTTTTCCGATTATTTGTTTATGTGGTTCATCTTTTTTCCTTTCCAAATTTGGGTTTCCAAACAGAGTAATTTGGAGTAGAAATGCATCAGGTAAAAGTTCTGTGAGTGGATTGTCGTGTAAGGTATCCCTTCATCTGCTCGTTCACTTCAATACTATTTTGCTAATTTCTAGGTTTATTATGTACATGCAATTTCACTTGTTACAACTGAATGCATGACTAAAATCTTGCCTCAGGTAAAAGGATTAGAGCCTGTGAAGCATAAATCTACCTGCGTACACAGTCAGCGTGCAGAAGAAATCGTGGTTGAGGTACTTGCCATTGGGTTCACATGTATAAATGTATATTATAAAGTTGTTGGTTGTCTATTCTTCAATTATTATATTTGCTGAAACTTCTGAAAAGGCATATTATATACATGCAAATCTTTACCAAGGTAAATGTTAGTTTAATCAAATCATTTTAAGGGAATTAAAATCTGTTTGGATTGGAAATGGTGATGGAAGACACTTTTTCTGTGATCTTTTTGGAGTTTGAAACATTTTCATATGATCCAGAGGAAGTATCAAGAAAGAAGAAGTCTTTTTTTGACATGCGATGTTGTGGGGTTCAGGATCTTTCCCTTATGAGTAAAGTGCATGACAGAGTTGCTGTCCAAAAAATAGTATAAATTATATGTTGGTGGATGTTACTTATAGAGGTAAAGAAGTAGAAAACATTTAGCAAATATCATATTACTTTGTTATAAAGCATGCACAGGCCTCCTGGTCGATGTTTATTTCTTTTGAAGATATGTTAAAAGCTCCTTCCTTGTCTGATAAGAAATCTTTGGCACAGAGATTTTTATTCTTTAGGAACACTCTTGTAGGCTGTAGGGTTTATCAACCTCTCCATCTTGTAAGCTGGAGGGTAAGAGGAAAGGTCTGAGATAATAACAGTCTTTGTTGTAAGGATTCTGAGCAGAATCAATGAGGAAACCTTGCATAGTATTTCAGTTAGATATAGAAAGATAGTTGGGACGATAATACGATGTAATAAATATGCATTTTTGGGATATGAGACAATGGTTGTAGCTAAAGAAGCAGTAACAAGATTGGATGGGCATAGAGTGATGGACGAGAATATAGATGTACTAATGGTAAGCATAAAGGGGATGGAAAGGGATGTTAAAGCATGTTCTGGCAGGAAAATGCATTGATGAAAGAGGTGATACAACAACGAGTTCTGGTTATTGAAATGCTTTTTCACTTATTGCAGCATCAAGTCTTGACAAAATTCAGGTAGTGCATAAGATCATCAAGATTCATAAGTTGATAGCTTTTCAAAATCAAAGTTAGAGAAGAAATACCAAAGCAAAGGAGAAGTGTGATGATATGGGAAGAAATGAGGATTCATGTCCGAGGAGGGCAATGAAGTAGAGCAGCCAAAAAGGGTACATGAGAAAGCTAGCAAGGAAGGGAAATTTTGTTGGAGAACCAACAAAGACGGGTGAAGTGTCAAGGATTGCTGATGGAGGAAGGTAATTCAAAAGTCAACAACTAATGAGATTGATTATGGTGACAATACTTTTGTCTGAGATATGTGTACAAATGGGGGCTAAACAGGTGATTATACAATGTCTAAGTCAAATTGATATGCTGGATGAAATAGGAGAAAATTCTCAAGATGGCACACATGTAGGAAAAGTGAGGTCCACCTGGATAATGGTAATCAATTAAAAATGGGATGATTCCAAGAGGAAAGGAGCATAGGAGTGCCACCAAATCGTGGTGGAGTTTCTAGAAGAAACTCTAGAAATGGTAAGTAGATATGGTACAAAATGATACCCAACTTAAGAAAGCTGAAGGAAGTAAGAAAAATGTTGTTTAGAGAGAAAAATACAATTTCTTCCTTGAATAATACATGGGTTTACATGACAATAAATACACCGCTACAAGATCTCCTAAAACCAGGAACTATTTCTAAATAACTTAGAAATTTTTTTAATTTACAACACCTTTCCTGGTTATAGGAAACTAAACATTTTGTTTACATATTTCCTAGTTTTATAAACTATATTATTTTAATTTCTCTAAAATTCAACATTAGGTGTATAAACATCTACAAGACCCAACTTAATAACAATTGACTTAAGGGAAGGCTTGAATATCCATTATTTGTTCGGTCGTAGGAACATATGGCATGCAAATTTTCTTTTCTCTAACATTTTTTTGATAATATGTCTATCAATATCCACATGCTTGTACAGGATTATATGCAATATTTATTGTCGCTTTGTTATCACAAATAAGCTTTATGGGTCCTGCAGTGGGTAGTTTTAACTTATTCAAATCAGTCTCTACGCTACTCCTTAAACAACATTTTGCTTTTTTGCTTCTCCAAGTCACCAAATTTTCCTACACCAAATGAATGATACCCTATGGTAGACCTCCTATTTAGTAGAGAACCACCCCAGTTTGCATCAATTTATGCTCTCAACCGTTTGTCGTGTTTATTGAAGAACAACCCCAAACCTGGAGTTCCTTTTAAGTATGACAATATGCTGTAAACAACTTTCATATGGTTTCTTTTTGGTGTGTGCATGAATTGACTAACAAGGGATACTGCAAAAGCCAATGCCGGGTCTTGTGGGACAAAAAATTCAACTTCACCACAAGCCTTTAAATCGTACCCCACAGTTTCACCTTCTTCTCACATTTACATCTACCATTTCCAGTGGTTTGCATGCTTTGCAGCCTACCATTCCAGTCTCTTTAAAGACATCTAGAATGTACTTTTGTTGGCTAACAACAACTCCTTTCTTTGACTACTTCCACCATCCCAAGGAAGTATTTTAAATTTCCAAGATCCTTTATCTCGAACTCTAGGGATAAGTTGCAACTTGTTAATTTCCTTTACATCACCTGCTGTTAGAATCATAACGATTAAAATATCCAACTTCCCATATTTTGACCTTTTTGTAGAACCAGGCATGATCTGCTTGATCTTGTAGAAAATTCTCTTAAGAGAGTTGGCAAACCTCTCAAACCAGGCTATTGGTAATTGCTTGAGCTCGTACAAAGACTTCTTGAGTTTGCATACTTGCCAACCAACCTTGTCTTCAAATCCGGGTGGAGGCTGTATTACCCTTCTTCTAAATCACCTCCAAAATATCCGGAACAGAAGCTGGTGTGCTATTTGTTTCAGACATGGTTGACATGGTAAAGTAAGGTATAAGAAGAGCAAGGCTACAATTTCCGAAATTCAAATTGAAAAGAACGACTGCACGAGGAAGAAAAAACCGTAGAGCTTCGATACCATGTTGCTTGGGTAGAAAAATACTATTTCTTCCTTGAATTAGTTTTTGTGGGACCTCTTTGTCGCACAACACGCCTGTGGGCTGTGGCAACCCTCCACTTTAGTCACTCTGCCTCTATACGATGTGTTACATCATCATCGACCCCTGTGGCAACCTCCACTTCTTTTGCCTAAATATTTGAAACTATCTATTGGGATACCCTATGCCCCTAACATTGACTTATAACCCCTCATCAATGCATTCCTCATTGAAATTGCACCACATGTAGTATGTCTTAGAGTGACTAATACACAAGCTTTGTACTACTCCAACCTCATGTTAGCCTCTACCTTCGACTCTGCAACCTTACAATATCATTTGGTAATAACATACACTATGGGACACTTTCATGATCCCTCGGGTATCTCATCCAAAATCACAGAAAAAGGAATGGGCTTAACACTGTGTAGCTCTATCTCCATGGTGAAATACTCCGTCTCACCCACCGGTGTCCTGACACAAGTTGTTGCTCCGCCATATATGTTATTTATTTCCCTTATATACCGCTATGGTACTCTCTTCATCTCCAAGCTCTTTCGAATTAATTGTCTAAAATACGTAGAATTCTATTGGTATTGATCAATTTGGTGGAGAAAATATCTCGTTTTTATGTATTTGTTGCTTGTAGCTGCTTGGTTCAGTTAGTTTCAGTCAATGTTGTCCACATCGTGGTTTTCCTTTTATTTTTAGATAGGTCATATTTTTCAGTTTGATGTTCTTGTATTAGCTCATGCTTTGTTTCCCTCCGGTTCAGTAATATATATTTATTTTGACTGTCTCAAAATAAATAACTAAATATCCATACTCGATTACACTTAGGCCATGTTGCCTAATTATAGTAGTTTAATATACACTGTAGTGCTACCAATGATCTAAACTATCCTATTTTCCTATCCATGAATGTTCACTTGAATGAATGAAGTTTCTGGTTGTTCTGTCATTTCGATTTTTAAACATTTCAGGACGAAGTTACAGTGATGTCAGAAACCAGCCCAGCATTGAAAAACATTCCAGGCCTACCAAATCCTCTTGGAGTATCAGAAACTGAAAAAGGGATCAACTTTGCTCTTTTTTCGCAGCATGCAACTTCAGTTACACTTTGTTTATTGCTTCCTGAGAGGTGAGTGTGTATCTCGTGATTTGGTACATGAAGAGTCTTTTTCCTTTTACTAAATTCCATTTAAGTGTAGCTAAAGGTAATACTTTTCATTAAAGCTTTTCTTCTACAACCCACTCTATACAAGGCTTTTTTATGGACTATCCATTACATACTATGTTGTTTAATCTTTTCTTTTGTCTAAATAGGTGGATCATGGTAGTTGAAGTAAATTTAACTAGTTTGACTGATAAATATTGAGAGTGCTTTCTTGAGCACCATGCCAAGTTTAGAAGTTAGCGGGACTTACAATGGTATAACTATTAGGTCTCCCCTTTTCAAGGAAATTTGCTTTCTAATAACATTTCTGGTTTCAGCTTGCCTTTGGTCTTTACATCACCTATGTATATGATGTGAAGGAGACTTTAACTTGATTTTTTACACCCTTCTTGCCGAATGCAGCTATATTGACATGATTGTAATGATCAGTCAACTAGCTGTCTTATTTGGCTGACAATTTTATCTCTTTGATTTATGCCGTGTCTTGATTTGGGAAATTGGGTTACAATTTATATCTTGGAGTTCTATGCTTTCCTTTCTTGCTTTTTTACATGCATATTTCTTTTAGGGGAGATGATGCATCTCCGAATGATGGAATGATCGAGCTGAAGTTAGACCCACATGCAAACAAAACCGGAGATATATGGCACATATGTATTCAGGTGGTTTTATTTTTAAATTTCTGCACAAACAGTTTTGCTTTGTTTTTTTATTTTTCGTACTTGAGTTTGATTGACTTCAACTTAAATTTATGGATTGCAAATTCTTTCTGTTTCTTTATCTTAATTAACATATGTCAGTGATGATGAAAGTTGCAGGTGATTTGAACTTTATCACTCATACCATGTGTTATAATCGTGGAATTACTATGTTAACAGGAGCAACAAGCACTATTTTATGCATTGCATTGCTTGGCGTACAGATTCAGATTTCTGTTTATTTCTTTAATATTTAATGACACAAAGGAAGCAACTAATTGTAGGAACTGCCTCGGAGCAACGTTATTTATGGTTACCGGGTATATGGTCCTCAAGGTTGGCATCAAGGGCATCGCTTTGACAACAGTGATGTCCTTATAGACCCTTATGCAAAACTAATCGAAGGTCGCCGGATTTTCGGCGATGCAAGTGATAGGTTCTCTAAACTTTATGGAACTTACGATTTCAGTAGCTTGCCATTTGATTGGGGAGACAATTATGCCCAACCAAACATACCAGAGGTAAAAATTGTGACCTGTGAATGAATTCACCCTGTTTTAAATGAGTTATTTTACTCCCATTCAAGGGCGATCTCTCTCTCTCTCTCTGTCTCTATCTCTATCTCATTATCTATCTCACTCTCTCATCTCTCTATACCTCTATCTATTTTGTTCTTCAGTTATTTACATGCATTCTATCGTGTTCCTACCTTTGGTTGACATGTGGAAAACAAGGAAAAACACATTTTTCATATATCCATACCATTTTACTTTTGTATTTATTAATTACGTTGATATCTCTTCCATCCTTATTAGAATTGTTGTTGATATTGCAGAAGGACCTTGTAGTATATGAAATGAACGTTCGGGCCTTTACTGCTGATAAATCTAGTGGTTTGGAACAAGATATATGTGGCAGCTACCTTGGTCTAATTGAGAAGGTAATGGCACACATTTTGAATTTCACAGTAGTACGGACCTCTAACAAMGAACTTGAGAAAATTTGTTCCTTCCTCCCATTTCACTGCCTTATTTGTTTACGTTTTGCTTGATCATGCAAACACTAACACAACATCTAAAGTGACGAGCTCGTAATTGAAATTAGAAGTTTAGTCACAACAAACCTTTCTCTCTGTACAAATTATTTATTTCTCTTGCACACACCAAGATAACATCTCTTGTCTTAGATCATGTGTTGCTGGTTTGAATCTTTAAGCCCATCTTTCAAGCTTCTACCATGAGTCAGCCCAATCTTCTTCCACATTATATTGCTTACTTTCTTCTTGATGTGAAGATACCACATCTTTTAGAGCTCGGCATCAATGCAGTGGAGTTGCTTCCAATTTTTGAGTTTGATGAGTTTGAATTCCAGAGGCGCCCAAATCCTAGAGATCACATGGTAACCTGAATTTTCTATCAGTATAGATACATTCTCAACTTTTCTTATGCATATCTATGCGAAATTCTATCCACTTTTCAGATACTTTATTTTCTTGATAGTCGCATCTTGCTATGTGAGTTTATACCTGATATTCTGAAATTTTATTCATCAAGATCAACACATGGGGCTATTCCACGATAAATTTCTTTGCTCCAATGACTCGTTATGCCAGTGCTGGTGGAGGACCTATTGGTGCTTCACAGGAATTTAAAGAGATGGTTAAAGCTTTGCACCTTGCAGGAATTGAGGTTTTTAACTTTCTGTTAAATGGACCTTGATTATCTAGTTATTCAGGTCACTAACAGCTTAAGTGCTTTCTATGAACAATATGGTCTTTAACCCTGCAGGTCATTTTGGATGTTGTTTACAACCATACTAACGAGGCTGATGATAAGAACCCCTATACCACGTCATTTCGTGGCATAGACAACAAGGTATTAACTTCAATAGAAAGAAAATAAGCTTATTGAACTCACACTGGCATCGTTCTTGAGGAAAAAATATATCATCAATCAGTTATTTTTGTACATTATCATATTTTTATGATGACAATATCAATTCATTAAGTTTTAATATCATAACTTATCATCATTTCCTAAGAGGGCTGGGTTTTGCCATTTAATTTTTAAATATTTAATTGCAGAGAGGCGCTGTATAAATTTTTCATGTTCATATCAAAAGGAATATGTCACTGCTAATCACGAATTATCTTTATGTTATGAAAATTGTCAAGGCATCATAATATTATTAAAGCATGATTATGTTGGCATATTGACACAATCTAAGTGGTTAGGAAATCCAAAAAAATTAGGAAGGATCTATATTACTTCATGCCTTGAGCTTGAATCATTATATTCTTTTATAGCCCTTATGTTCATTTTTTTCTTTTATGATTAACCTGGATATCCAACCCGCTATGCGAGCCGACTAATCCCAGGGCGACCACCTGCTTTGCAGATAGCCCGGAGTCACCGCATTTGAACCTCCGTGGCCACAAGGGGATTTTTATTCCTCCTTGGCTTTGAACCTAGACCTCCTGGTACTTTTGACCTTTGGAGCCAAGCTCACACCAATCAGACACCACCCTTGTGGTTTAGCCCTTATGTTCATTGATATGAACTTCTATGAGAACTGCATAATAGAGGAAGAAAACCTTGATGCATGTGTATCTGAATAGACATTTCTGGTTTATACATCACACATTTAGTATGCGGTCACTTATGAACTTGCACAATCAGCAATCAGTATTGCGTTTTCCTGAAGATGGGTGCCACTGTGGTAAAATCTTTTGCAAGGCTGCAAGTATTTGGAAGTGCATTTTTGTTGTTTTTGTAGCTCTTAGTATTACATGTAACAACTCTTTAACCTTCCTTCTGGTTTGGCTCTTTTAGTAGGCCTAGTATATATTGGCAATAAGCAATCACAATGGGATTTGTATTTTGTTACTCTATTCAAGAAGTAGATTCTATTATAGGAAATACAAAAATAAAAATTTATGATGTAGTCACATATGCCTCATATTCTGCTAAATTCTACATTTGCTCTTCACTAGAAATTGATTCTTTTAAGGAAAAAGTTATGTGCTATTGATATTGTGTATTTGTTTGTTTATAGATATATTACATGGTGGATGGTAATGGCCAATTATTGAACTTCTCAGGCTGTGGTAATTGCATCCTCCCTCACATCGTTCTTGAGTTCACTCTCTGTTAGTTTACTTTTTTTTACTACATGTTAACTTGAAAACTTGTCAATTTGTTTGTGAGAAAACGATGTCCCTCTTTTCTATCAAGTGCAAGCCCCTCATCACACTGAAAGATCCTGGAAATTCTGTGGGTGAGGGCCAATTTAAACTATTCGTTTTCTGACAAACACACTAATTTGACTTAGCATACAACTCGACAACTTTGGCAACCTGATCTGTTAGATCTGCAGCAGTTCTATTCAATTAGTTTCAAGTAACCAAAAGAAGGTAATAGAAATATATTTTTCATAGGTTTATGATCAACATTACTTGCTGCTAATTTTATTTGCTTAATGGGCAAATTTATCAAAAGAAGAATTCATTATTCAAGCATCAAGTGTTTGCATGGTGAGCCATGAATAGAATTCATTATTCAAGCATCAAGTGGTTACCCCATTTCTTTCTTTTTGAACCAAAAATGTCAACTGTATAAATTGTCAGATTTAGAATCGTATAGATCATTTTCTTAGGTTATGATCTTTAGAGTACAATTTGACCCCCATGTACCTTTTTTATAAGCAGGTAATACATTAAACTGTAACCACCCTGTTGTCATGGAACTCATACTTGACAGCCTACGGCACTGGTACAGTTTCTGTTCCTTCAAATTACTTTCTGCTTCTTGTCTACCACTTATGTAGAATTTCTTCCTTCTGTCCTGTTTCACTTGAAGGCAAATTTGTCTCTTACATTTTGCTCCATCTGTTGTCGAAACTACTCGATGTCTGAGCTACTCTTCTCATAGATCTGATTCTTTTGTACATTCCCTATATAGAACTTGTTGAAATTTTATAAACAGAAAAGCACAATTTGGGCATGCAAAAATCCTTGGCCGTTCTTTTCACTCAAACTAGAAATGACCAACAAATCGTCCATGTGGAATAATATTTTGTCACTTTGAATTATTCCATGGAGACTCGGTTTGATCGAAGGCATGGTCCAATCAGCTTTTCATAGTAATGAGCAATTTTTCTCAGGTCCAGCCAGCACTTCCATTCCCCTTAGAGTCGATTAAATAAATTATCAAGGCATCTGCGGTGACAAATGGGAAATAGAAGTTGATAACAAGGACAAATAGACTCCATAACGTTCATTTGGCGGTTATGACCACTTATGTCATGGTCTCCTTGATTGTGTCATTTTCTTGTTTGCAATAATTGGCAAGATATTTAGATTGCATGTATGTTTTATTTATTTTGTTCATGAGAAGTGAAAAAAAAATAAGTTCAAGCCCAAATTAGTTCGGGATGGAAATGGCGGCCCTGCTAGGAGATGCCATATGTAAGAATAATTAAGAGTAATGTTCGCTGGAATCATCAGAAGTTGATGCTGATGATTTAAGATACTGGAAATCCTTTAGTTTATGCATCAACAGAGGAAATGGATCCCTGTAACTGACTCCTTGTTTGCCTTGTACAAAGTGCAATTTCATTTCTCCCTCTGTTATTTCATATTGTTTTGTGTTGTTTTAAATTACTTGTTATGATTCTATGTATGCAGTATATTGGTTTTGATTTGAAATTCATTATTTTGACTAAATGAAGGGTCACCGAATATCATGTGGATGGATTCCGGTTTGACCTTGCAAGTGTTCTTTGTCGAGGAACAGATGGCTCCCCTCTCGATGCTCCTCCACTTATCAGGGTAAGTTACACACTCCTCTTTTAACAAGAAAATCTATATTTTCCATTTCATTGATTTCGTATTTTTATCCAATTGCTTACAGATATTTGGGATTTGACTGCTGATCAATTACTTAGCATAGATACTAGGGGAGCAAGTGGTTGACTGTCACTGCATAAATTTTAGCAACAAATGATCGTACCATATGAAAGAATGCGCTTTGCAACATGCACATAGGGTGCTAGTTGCTGAGATTTTTGGGGAGTGATTGGTAAACCATCCTTTTCACAAAATACCAAGTTCTTTTACTCAAGAATCTTGAACTAAGAAACACTGTTGCTGTAAAGCTAGTTAGATGGATTTACGCTAGGCGTATAAAAATATTGTTGTGGTTTATACAAAAGAATTCACCAGAGTCAAAGTCAGACTAGGTCAACTGTCAGAAGATAATGCATTAGAATGTTTTCTTACAAGACATTGCTTGACCAAGAAACTGTTTTTGTAAAATGAGGTGTTGAGACTTTTGAGTTAATTTTTCATTTGTCTTAAAACTAAATAAAATATTAGTATATTATTGACTTTTCAAACCATCAGCTTTTCCTTGCAAACAAACCATCATTCTTGTGAAATGTGAAAAGAATACTATATTTTGCAAGTGATAGAAAAGGTTTCTGAGAAGATGTATGTGACGTTAGTCAAAGAGAGATTAATAGATAAAACCTACTTTGAGTAAATACATAAATGATAAAGTTAGCCCTGTCTCTCCAAAACAAACCAAGGAAAAGAATGAGCACTAGTTGTTTACTTCATAGCACCATGCAGACCAGAAAACTCACAAATCTTCAGACCTAGGATCCACTATGGTAGTGACAGCCACGAATAACACACAAGTTACTGCAGAGAAGAGAGATATGGAAACTAGGGTTTTGAGAGATGTGCGGCATGGGTTTAAAGAGGAGAAGAGATGGATATGGCTACTGGTTTTGGATGGCAACTGGTGATTACGGCTAGTATCAAGAGCTAACCTGCTATTCTTAGAAGATGTATTTGTGGTTAGGCAAAGACAGAATAAATAAAATATAACTGTGGGCCATAGGCCAGAATAGAGCTGGGTTTTTTGCCTTTACTCTTCCCTAGGTTGTTGAATTGGCTTATTCTTGGAAACTATAGTGTTTGTGTTTGACATTTTTGCAAGAACAATGATTAGTTTATAATAAAAAACTGAGTATGATGGTCTGAAAAGTGAATCACTCTATAAAAACATCAGGGAAAAAGTATGGTAAAATGACGAAAAGGAAGTTGGTTTGGATGCCTAAACTTTTTTGTTAAGAAGAGAGTTGAATATCCATATTAATGGCATAAATTGATGGATGCCAATACCCTCAGTGCCTTTCATGAAGTTCACTGCACTATTCATTCTGTGTTCTATGCTTGCAGAATCTTAGGAAGCTTATCCTAAAAAGGGATGACATGTTACTGCTATATTCTTGTATAGAATTTCTAAGAGGAACATTTTGTTTTACTTGCATGTATCTCGGTAAAATGAAGCAGGCCATAGCAAAAGATAGTATACTGTCCAGATGTAAAATTATCGCTGAACCATGGGATTGTGGAGGTTTATATCTTGTTGGGAAGTTCCCGAACTGGGACAGGTAATTTTTTTTTATGAATTCGTTCTTTTCTTTATTTTCTTAAGTTCCACTCCACATGGTATCCTTGTTTAGTTTACAATATTTCTTCTGAATATCCTTCCATTATTTGAGTATCTCCATATTATATCAGCACAATTGACTTTTCAAAATTCTACCCATGGAACTAGGATTTTTTTTCCTGCAAACAAGCTAATATTTGTTCAGAAAATGCAAAAAAGAACAAACAGCCTCCAACATGATGGTTTTTTTTTGTATCAACATTTTTGTTCAAAAATTGTTCATTTTAAAATACCAGTATACTTTTTGGTGTTTTCACAAGAGTGATGGTTACTTGCAACTAATGATAAGTACTATGGTTGAAAGTGGATCACTATTAGATTGTTGATTTCTTGTTTTTACTGTGCAGGTGGGCCGAATGGAATGGGATGTATCGTGATGACATGAGAAGATTTATAAAGGTAAGTGATGTGTAAACAAACAAACTGATGGAGACATGGGGTGTGGACGTCGTGCTTACTTTTTTGGGTTTCACAAAAGGCCAAGTGTGTCTTGGTCTTTTAAGCTTCATAAGGGGGAACATTGCAAATCTCAAACAGTTTTTAGTAAACCATTCGAGTTCCTCCCTCTGGATTTGATACTCCTTTTATGTATTTCATCAACTTATAGGGCGACACTGGTATGAAGGGAGGTTTTGCAACTCGAGTTGCTGGTTCTGCTGATTTATACAAAGTAAGTTATTCTATTGGTGGTGATATTTGACTTTCAAACATTTTTCATCCCAATATTAATGCAATTTAGGATGTTGCAAAATAAATGCATCATTTCCCTAACTGACAAAGTATAAACCTAAACTGGCCTTTTTGCCTGTTAGTAATTTCTATTAAAAAATGATAGCATAGAATTATGACCAGAAGATTCCTCTACTTTGTCATTCTTGAGGGGTATTTTGGATATTGACAAGTAGCAAACACTTCCATCTTGTTATGTGCTTGGTTGAATGTTGCTTTTGTTTTGGGTTGGAGGAGTTGTGTCGTTGTAATTCTTCTCGCAACTCCTTGCTTCCACCCAATTGAGGGTAATATGGGCCTAGATATTGTCATCCTCAGGTACCACAACTGGTCAGTCCCTCAACCAATGTTCTTCAGGAGTATATTGGGATTAAATTAGTCTTCTTAAATACGATGATATTGATTTCTGATGGAAAATCATTTGTCTAAAAAATTGCTAAAGGAATTGTTTGTGTGTGCGAGTGATATACCATAATGTAATTCAATTCAAGCACATTAAAGGTCAACTCAGATACCTTATACTTATGAACTTGGCTCTTTGATTTAGCTGAAAATTCCCATGTCATTTGCTTTATAGGTAAACAAGCGCAAGCCATACCATGGAGTGAATTTCATTATAGCACATGATGGGTTTACTCTTTACGACCTTGTGTCGTATAATTACAAGGTATTTACAAAATATACACCCATACCTCTCTAATCCACGTATGTACTTACCATCTTATATGTTTTTCCTAGCACAATGATGCAAACGGAGAAGGTGGCAATGATGGAAGCAATGATAACCTTAGTTGGAATTGTGGTTATGAAGGTAACTTTTATGGACCTTCTTCACATCTCACCTTCTTTTAATTATATCTGAAGTAAAGGCAATGCTTGGCCTGAAAATTATTAGCTAGGCCCTAACTACCAATATAAAGTATTGACTTGTTATATTAGAGCATGTTAAAGTCCACATGCTTGATGTCATGCTTAAAGCATGTACAGTTTGATATATATATATATGTGTGTGTGTGTGTGTGTGTGTGTGTTGTTAGATATGTTGCAATTAAAGATTGTAAGTTAGAGTTATTTTGACTGAATTCGTTTCCTTGTCTAGGATGATTTAGTTAGGCTACCCATATAGTTATTTAGCTTGATTTAGCTTCTTGTCTATGTTTTCCTTCTTTATGCTTATCCTTGTATATACATTGAGGCAATTAGCTCGCAATGAAAAGATAGTACTTTCCGTATACTTATTTTATTGCTACTATTCTATAAATCATCACATGTTTGTGGCTTTATAGCTGCCAAAACATAGTTGCCTAAATCGATTCGTTCATTCCAAAGTCTTGTTGCAGAATTCAGTATATATTCATCTCGCGAGACGAAGTGCTAGTTCAAGAATCAAAGTCTACGAACTGGGCTCAATGGAGTACGTTTATCCAAACGGATCTTGAATGTTTGGACAATGATGGTTATTTGAGTTGGGACTCTTAAAAATCCTAAAACTCGGGAATGGTTCAAACAAATGTAGAAGGAGATGAAAGCCCTTTAAAAGAATCACACATGGCATTCTGAACAACTTTCTCCTAAAAAGTACAAAGTCCATTGTAAATGGTGTTTAAAGTGAAGTTGAATTCTAAGAGCTTATTACATCGGTTGAACGCTTCATTGGTTGCGGATGGTTATGCTCATGCTTATGGGATTGACTATGATGAAACCTTCTCCGTAGTGGCCAAGATGTCGCTTGTTTGAATTTGTATATCCTTGGCTAACATTAATCATTGGCCGCTCCATTAGTTGGTTGTCAAAAATAATTTCCTTAATGGCATTTTTTAGGAGGACGATTTAGAAATGTCAGAAATGTTTGGGTCTGTTATTGAGGAGGCCACAAAGGGTTGTTGATTGTGAAGTTCATTATATGGTCTAATGCAGTCATCTAGTGCCTTGGATGATTTTGCAATATTCTTCAAGAGTTTGGTATGACATATAGTTCCTAGGTATGTCGATTGTGTTCTTTTGACATCATGAGGTTGACGAATCATAATAGTAGCATATAAGGATGACATTATAACATCAACACTCAGATATTTTAGAGTTGTAGCATTTCCTACAATCTCAGTTTTGGTTAAGACATGGACATCTTTATTACTTCCTTGGAATAAGTTTTTGGGTGTCCAGGAATTCTCCTATCTCAATGGATATATGCTATTGATATGCGAGTGTGGTCTACTAAGATCCAAACCAGTAGATAACCCGATTCTCGCTACCAGAAAACTTGATCTGGAAGATGATAATCCTACGAATAATCCAAAGCGGTACTGAGGACTAGTCGGAAAGTTGAACAATGTCATAATTTTTTGACGAGATATATCATTCTATGCAAGTGCTTTGAGCTAGTTCACATTTGCTCCACACACATGTCACTAGGATGCAACACTTTGTGCTTTGAGCTAGTTAACATTTGCTCCATAAATAGGTCACTAGGATGCAACACTTCACGTTTTGAGGTATCTCAAAGCCACAACAGACTTCAGGATACTCTATTCAAACCAGGAACACGACCGAACAGGAGCATTTGCTGAAGAAAGAGAGGGCATAATATCTAATTTCTCTTATACAGATTGGTCTGGCTGCCCTACATTTTGGAGATCGAGAATAGGGTACTATGTGTTCATTGAAGGTAATCTAGTTTCTTGGAAAAACAAGAAACATGTTGTCTCCCTGATCAAGCATTGAGTCAAGAGTCTAGAGCTATGGCAGATGTGTCATGCGAAAGGACATGGGTATAAAGACTTATAAAGAAGCTTGTAGTGGCTATAAATGATTTGATGACACTTCATTGTGCTAACCAACCACCTATCCACAAAGCTCAAAACCAATAATTCCATGATGGACCAAGCACATTGAAGTTGATTGTAACCTGATTAGAGATCAGGTTGTGAGAACACAAGCAAACCCTCCATTAATTGAGTCCTGGCCAACTTGCAGACATTTGTATCAAATTGAACCTGATTAATATCTATGATCCAACTTGAGGAGTATTATATATATATATATATATATATATTGTAATTATAGGCTGATTTAGGGGTCGTTTACCAAACGCTTACCGGCAAGAGTCACCACTCTCACTTACCTTATGGGGTAACATCCCCGGCCATCAAAATGGATCAATGGTTGGCGTTTATAACCAGGTAAGAGTCATCACCCTCACTTACAGGGTAAGACTTTTGATCCTTGCCTTCCCTCTTACCTGGTAAGATTCTCGGTTCTTGTTATGTTCACCCGGTAAGGTAATTGAACCGGTAAGCTCTTACCAAGTAAGTGTTTTTGTAAACGGCCCCTTAGTTGGCTGTCAGTGTGATTTAGTTTTCTTGTTTAGGCTGATATTGTTCCTTGTTTAGGCCTTGCATTATATACATATTGAGGTGATTACCTTGCAATGAGGACACACAAAGAAAGAATTTGCCAGACACAACTACATAGATATACATACACCCTCTGAGTAGTCAGAACTCTTTACAAGTAGTGCTCCATGGTTATATATGTTTTATGGTCTCGATGGTCTATTGAGGTAGTTTCTCTTTTGCCTTGGATGCAACCTATGATTCAAGTTTGTAGTTCAAGCCTAGTTTATGAAGTCCGGCTCAACTGGACAAATAAACAGGTCTGTTAGTCCATAGAACCAAAGTCATGCAAAATCTACTGACCTATCGGTTTAAGCCTTCTTCACAAAGCAAGAACATAGATGGGTACTTGTAGAATTTTCTGCTCATGTCCGCTTTTTTGTTTCGATTCAGAGAAGCTTTCGCTCTCAAGCCACACCAAGATTTTCTAACTCTGTTTTCTGTCTGAGTAAACGATAGCATCTTCACGCTCCGGTGACCACAGTTTAATATTTCAATTCTCTGTTATTCTCCCTACTTTTTGTTGTTATATTCATTCTATGCCATAACAAGTATCCTGATAACATAGAGATCTTGAGCCTGAAATCCGTTACTTATGGATTGCAATGTTAATTTGTCCATTTTTATTTTATTTTGTTCATGCTTGATAGGGGAAACTTCTGAAGCCAATATCAAAGCCCTACGATTCCGGCAGATGAAGAATTTTCATTTGGCATTAATGGTATCTCAGGTATTTTTACACATTGATTCTTGCATCCCACATTTGACTCGATTCATAAATGTTTTTTTGTAGTAGAATTCACTCAACTTCTTGAGTAGATATTAGCTGTGCTACTGCTCCCTTTAAGCTCTATTAGCTGTCCTCCTTTGACTTCGAGCATCCAATTTGTATTTAATGAAATTGTAACTATTAGGGGGCGTTTGGATTGATGGAATGATATTGAGGGATTTGGATTTTGTGGAATGATTTGGAATTGGAGGGATGTGGATTGGGTAGGATTTGAAATTTTAATAGGATTGGAATGATTAGTTTTACTCCTGTCTTAAAACCGATTTATGATTATATATCTTCTGAAATTCGATATATTTGTATAAATTTTAAAAGTGAAAGTAGTTTGTTTGACATTCAAAATCGAAGCATAAGAACCCCATCTTTTAATTCGCCATTCAATTTCATGTTTTTGCTATTGGTAAGGGTGTACCGATGATGCTAATGGGAGATGAATATGGTCATACTCGCTACGGAAATAACAACAGCTATGGACATGACACTGATATAAACCATTTTCAGTGGCGACAAGTACGTATTTTTATTTTGAAGTATATATAATCTTTATATACCGCAAAACTCACACACAATACTCGTCCTTGGTGAGGCTTGAATTCTTGACCTCCCGGGTACCTTCGGGATAATGACCCTTTGGTACAAGTATTGTTTTTTTTGTTATAATACTTCATCCTAGATAGTAGATGCCATTACCTTTGCTTATCAAAACTTTGACCATCAGTTGGATGCAAGGAAGAACGATTGCTTCAGATTCTTTTCGGAGGTGATCAAGTTTCGAAAAAAGAATAGGGTATTTAGCCAAGAATATTTCATTGGCAAGGTAAGTTTTCTGCATTTTATGGTCCATTCATGTAGCCATTTTCTGCCATTCTCAAATTTTTTGCGTCCCTTTTCAATTTATTCTAAGAAAGTCTCATATCAGTTAGATTTGGACCAATTAATTTCAATGTGTTGGAACCTCCCTTCTTTGCAAAGTCGTTCCAAAGACTGTAATTTGATGGGTTCTACATATTCTTGCATCTCCAATCCACCATCACATTTCATGTCTTGTCAAATCCTATGTGTGGAACCAACAAAGCGAATACTCCATCCGTCCCAAAATGAAAAAGACACAATTTTAGACATGTATAATTAATATACTTTTAGTTTATCAAAGGACATTTTTGGCCTTCATAATAGATGCAGTAATTAATTTCTCCATTTAATAATTAAGGATAAAATTGCAAAGTAGATATTTATATTTGAAAGTGGACCCTCATGGATAAACAAAATAAAAATATGGAAACTTATTTTGGGACGGAAAGCGTATATTAAATGTTGGAAACAAATAAAGCTCGAGAGATTTAAGTGTAATTGGGTTACATAACATCCTCATGCATAACATTTCTGTGTTGTCGGTTATATGTATCTGCACATTCTCAAAGCGTGTCGAGTATTAGATTACAACTACGAAGAATCCATTACTCTTTTCAATCATGAAATTTTTTGGCTATTTGCCAATGTCTTTAAATGTTATTTTTGTCATTAAGATATCGTGTCATTGAGTTCGAGCAGTTATGTATTTTAGCTTAAAATTTTGCCAAACTGAAATTAATATGAGATTGACATCCGAGAATGGAAGTCGTTGCAATTTTCATTTGACATGTTGAGTACTGTTTGAAGTTCATTGTCATAATTTGCGTTTTTGGTTATTTTTTTTCTGCACAAAGCTAATGAAACATTTGTTCCAACTGCAGGAAGAGATAACATGGCACGAAGATAACTGGGATAACTACGAAAGCAAATTCATCGCCTTCACGTAACTGTTAAAATACTTTTTTGGATAAAACGAGAGAGTATTTTTTTTTAATTAAAAAAAGATGGTTATAATTATAAATTCTCTACTAATAGCTTGTTTTACAGGCTTCATGATCGCGATGAAGGGGACGTTTACTTGGCCTTCAATGCGCACGACTATTTTGTTAAAGTTCCAATACCTTCACCACCTCAAAAACAACGCTGGTTCCGAGTGGTCAGTCTTCTTATAATCATATACTCCTTCCATTCCAAACTAACATTTTTAGACATGCATAACTATTACACTTTTTAGTTTACCAAATGATAACTTTACCCTTAATTAATTTATCTATCTATCTATCGTATCAACTCTTAAATATTTGTGCATTAATTAAGGGTAGATTTGGAAATTTAGTTATATATTGTTGAAAGTGGACACTTATTTTGGGACAAGCATAAATAGAAATGTAGACACTTATTTTAGGATGGAATGCGTAGTTTTTTTAAGTATATATATATGTAGACACACACACACACATGGGAAATGAACTCACACACTCCCCTTACCTTTAAGAAAGTTTGAACCCCTCGGGGATGGCTAGGCTGTATCGGTAACTTGGACACTGCCAGACCACAGGCCCTTTGGACTTTGGTTACAATTATATAGTTCTAACTTTTTATATAGTACGAATTATGAATATTGATGTAGTTGGTCGTATATTGATCTGACATGAAATATCCTTTCGTTATTGATACAGGTCGACACTAATCTTGAGTCTCCACACGATATGGTCCCCGACGGTGTCGATGGCATTGGGGATACTTACAATGTTGCTCCCTACTCTTCCATTCTTCTTCAAGCAAAACCTTGAATATTCGAACTTTAAAATAAAGTACACGTAGATGCTAACTTGGAGATTGGCATGATATATAGAGATATCCACACATTGTAACGTATGTAGATGTAGTATCGATTTTATAAATGTAAGGATGGTTTTTGCTTTGTTTTATGGAAGCGGTTTCCATTGTGAACTTTCTTATACGTAAATTGTGATAAAAGGGTTGTCATGGCTCATTACAGATAGGAATAACAATAAAAGGTGTAAAGAGGTGAATACATTTTCCTACATATGATTATAAATACATAATCCTATATATACAGGCCTTCATATGATTATAATACATTATCCTAACCTTTCGAAAAAAAAGAAACAAAAATACATAATCATATATATATATATATAGGCTGATAGTCCGTAGGGGAAAAGGTCATGGGTAATGCTATTAGCGACGGATTAGTGGCAGACACTTTTTAGCGACGGCCAATTACCAGCAATGGATTAGCAAGGAAAAACTATTAGCAATGAATTAACGAGGGAACCTTTTAGCGATGAATTAACAATGAATTAGCGATGGAACCCTTAAAGCCCAATATGACCAATTAAAACCTAAGAATATTGAATAAAACACAAGAAAGCAGATAGATTAAATCCAATAAAGCCTAGTAGATTCAGTAAAGCCCAATAAAACCTTTAAAATTGAATAAAGTCCAATATATCCATTAAAACCCAATATAATCATCATAGTCTACTAAGAGTAAGATCCATTAAATCCCAATGTAACTTAGTAAACCCAATATAACCCATTAAAACCTAATACAACAAAAAAAAAATCTTTTTTGAAGTATATAATATTTATATACGGCAAATGCTAAAAATAAACTCACACACCCTTCTCACCTTGGTGAGGTTTGAACCTCTGACCTCTTAGGAGGCCAAGGGCTACGATACCGCTAAGCCAAAGGCTATTTGGTTAATACAACGAATGAAAGCTCAATAAAACTCATTGAAGCCCAATTGATTGATTGAAGCTCATTAACACCCATATATATATATATATGAATGTCATATCATTTGGATTTGATAAGACCACTAAGACCCATTATAGCCAAGTAAGACTATGACTTGTTAAGGCCTAGTAACATCAATGGTGACTTATTACCTATTTGTATGCGGTTACCGGACAACACAAACACACATTATAATTATCTATACATGCATTCACATATACACATACGCATGTAGGGAGAGATTCATTTGAGAAGTGATAAGTATTTGAGATGTAAAGAAGTTATCATAGTTCTTCATACGGTCAAGATTGGTCAAACATTACGGCTTTGACCGGTCAAAATTGCGGCTTTGACCGGTCAAGTGAAAAACAAAGGGGTAGTTTTGTAACTTTACAAGTAGTCAGCAAACAAGTGCATATGTGAATTTATAAGTGCATATATAAACTCATAATTCATATGTAGATCAGTTAATTAGTTAATATGTGAACCACACAGGTTCATATATGAATCGGTTAATTAGTTCATATATGAATCATATGAGTTTATATGTGAATCATACGAGTTCATATGTGAATTACATGGGTTCACATATGAATATATAGTCTATATGTGAATCACACGGGTTCACATATGCATTTGTTTTGTCGCCTATTTGTTTAAGTTATAAAACTACCAGTCTATCTTTCACATACCATGCGAGGAATTATTTGGTGCTTCATAGTCAAAGCTGCAAATCTTGATTAGTTGAAGGGCTAGGATCACTTATCTATTTCTCAAATACTTATCACTTCTCAAATGAATCTATGGCTACATGTATATAATATATACAACACATATACACATCATATTGTGGTTACCAAACAGAACACACACATTATCTATACATTCACATATACACATGCATATAAACAGATATACAACATATATACATGTATTTATAACAATATATACATAGATCCAATCACGGTTAACAACCAACACACCTACACATTATGTATACATATGTATAACTTGGACCAACGGATACATATAACACATACACATGTATACATAAAACACATACACATGTATATGTATAACACATACACATGTGTACATATAACACATACAAATGAGAGAATAAGAAAAATAGACTAATCTCTCACTAATTAGCAATGAATTAGTGACAATGCCACGTGCTCGTCACTAATCCGTTGCTAATTAGCAAGGTATTAGCGACGGATAGGCCACAAACCCATTCCATTGCTAATCCTTCTAGCGACATATTACCTATTGGTTGGGTTCGTGACCTATCATTGCTAATTAGCGAGATATTATTTATGTCGCTAAAAACCAGCTTTCTAATATTTCATCAAAAAATTTAGGTTCAGAGCTTGTTAATTTCTTGGATGTATTCTTGTTGGCTAGTTTTCTAGTTTTCTTCAAATCTTGATATGGTATCACAGTGGTTATCTGTGGTTTAAAACCCAGATTAGATGTGGTCTCAATACAGTGGATATCAAAGTGATATCATAGTTGGTGATCATAGTGGTATCACAGTTGATAACACAGAGGTATCACATTGGGTATCACAATGCATCTTATATGTATTTTGGATATCAAACTGATGATCGTTTGTATGTATGTTTTTAGGTATCACATTGTGTATCTTGTTATGTTGTGTTTACTTGATGTTCGCTGGAATAAAAGGTTCACCGAAGGCCAGAGGTCGGTGGTCGGAGAGAAGAGATGAGATTTACTAAAATGTCATTTAATTAAAATTCTAAGTCAAATTACTAAAATATTAATTTCCTAATTTATCATTTGATTTGTGGTTGAGATTGGATATCATATATAGTTATCAACAAACAAACCAAGTTCTCCCTTGAATGACCCCATACAAACTGTTATGCATAAGTAATCAATTGATTTGAAGAAATCTATTTAACCGAGACATAAATTTAGACCTAGTTATAAAAAAACGAAAATTATAATATAAAACAATAGATCTTTCAAACTAGGGCCGAATAATTGTTCTTCACTCGACAAGTAATAGACAAATGTATGTTTTCACTCATTGTGTGTAATCTATAGTAAGTGTGTGTCCTTGAGTACAATTTTAGATTGTGTAATCTATATATTCATGTTTATCGAGAGATCGTCATTTGTATTTATACTGAATCTTGGTGGGAATCAATTCTAGGTTCACGTAATCTTCATTGCTAACATGGCATCAAATTTGTTAGGAAAATTTTCATATGTATGTCGGAGCTTTTTGGTCCATTGGTCCACATGCATACTAGGTTGAAGTACTTCTAACTTCTTTGAGAAAATGCATAAGTGACGAGTCTAGAAACACAACTTCAAAAAAAAAAAAAAAAACCCTTTTGAAGCTTACATTTAGATAGCGTTCTGAAGAATCGTTGTGTCAAAAACATCATCAGACGCTGATATCCTTTTCTGAAAAAGCTTGGTCATGCACGATATTCGTTATAGCTATGATATCTTCATTAGAACTATTCTGAATGTTTGATCAAGTTCTTAATGGCCTTGTATCTCATGGTACATGGCTTGATTATATGCTTTTCGGAAAGTGGTCTTTGATGATGTCTTGAAATATTCTAAAAACTTGCTTTATCAATCGACTTCACAAATCACGTTAGTCTTCTGAACATTTCTTCAACTAGCAGGTTGCTCTTCTAAATTTTCTTCGCAAACCAATAGAGAATGTCACACCCTGCTAAAGCGGAAACACGGGATGTAACAGGTAAGCGAGTCACAACAATAATTAATAAATAACACCTTTCAAGTTTTACAAAATAAAACGAGTTTAACATCAATAACCAAAATAGGATAGTGTACTTCTTAAACAAAAACTTCAAATGCGAACTTAATCGGTCTTGCCACAAATATGCTCCCAAAAACTTCATTTCTTATTTACTACCTGAAAAGCATGGAACATAGAACAACGTCAACTACAAGAGTTGGTGAGCTCACGGGTTTTCACATGCACAAAATTTTACAATGCATAAATCATTTACTTAGCAAACATATACATAAACTTTTGCACTTAATAAATGTAAATCTACCGCGATGCTTAACTTGAGACGCTACTGAGTCTTACCTGACCAACGTGCCCCATTATTTTACGAACAACCATAAGTAGCCCGTACACTTAATTAGGTCCCACAGTTCGTAGTAGTACTAATTGAGCGGTGGTCCAAATTCCACATGATTAGACTAAGAAAACATAGGTAATTTGCACCCCTTTCTGGGTGGGACTGTCAATACAATAGCGGCTATCCACAATACCACGGCCCGGGGACGTGCCCGAGTTAACAAGTAACGTTTACGGACAGGGACTTTATTTCGAAACATACTCTCAAGCACATCAATTTAGTATTTATTTCATAGTGCAAAAACAGTCAATATTTCATGACATAATAAACTTGACTAAACAGTTCTTTAGTCCAATGGTTAAATAAATAAACAATATAGTTTGCTCAGTCTCATGCTTTTCCCCCCAGTTAAATAACAAAAAGCATTAAAAAGTGGGGGCCGTGAAAACTCACTGGTTTGATGATGAATATCCAAGAAGATGACGTCTGAAGCTCTCAACGTCYGCCCTACCTTCCTAAACAGACCAACATCCAGTATTTAGTTCACCTATGGGTTCTTGTCAAAGATAAAGTCAAATTGCATCCTATGTAATGCCATCACATTTATATGAATTAAAGTTGATATTTTATTATTTACTCTAAAAATAGCCCAAAAATTATATATATTAAGAAATCAAAATCCTTTACTCAAAAGCTGATTTTTGGACAGATTATAAATTCTGTTACATGTATTTTTGGGTTTCACAAATCACTATAAATAGGAACCTTCCAAAAGTCATTTTATTTCCAACTTTTACATCATTCAAAATAATGAGATCAGCCGACTATTCCAAATATCAAGAAATTTGAGTGGGTTTAAGTTACTCATTAATGCCCTACAATCTTGAATTACACAGCCTCCAAAACAGATTGCACACTCTTCGAGTGACAGCCATTTGAGGTCTTAACTCATCATTTTCCAAAGATTTTAACCCTATTTTCAAACTACCAAAAACGGTTAGCTTTCAGAAATTGTTTTCCGATTTCATTAAATTTTGAAAATGCACAAGTCGATTTGGGATGCATGCAAGATTCTTCCATACTTCAAAAC